TGGGGGGGTTGGGGCAGCTGTGTCTCCTTGTATAAACCATGTAAACTCAGGGTTCCTATGTCCCGTCTGGGGATCAGACAGGTTGCAACCTTGGCCTCTGGCCCTTGCTAGCTGCCTGACCTTGACAAGAGACGAATTGTCTGGGCTCACTTTCTCTGTCTGTGACACGTGGATGGTAATTCGTGCAGAGCGAGCATGTCCGTTAGTGCCCGGAGCAGTCCCGGCTCTAGACCAGAACCCATGATAGTGGTTTCATTTTTACTGAAACGCGATGAGTGACCCATGCGTGGCGTCACCTCGATACAAAACAAGGGAATCTCAGGCTCGGCCAAGAACAGGGCCGCTCAGGTCCAGTCGGATGATGTGGTGAAATGGGGGTGCAGAGAGCCCGAGGTGGGCGGGACCTGGGGTCCTGGGCCGGTGAAGACAGCATGGAAGGCAGGGAATGTCCCAGGGGAGGGATGCTAAGAAGAATGTTCCCTAAAATTTCCTCCCTCCAGTCCAGATGGCGCCCCCGACGCTCAACGTGACCAAGGGCAGAGACGGCCACATTTTGCGCTGGGAAGTGAAGATGTTCTATAATCACATAGAGTACACCTTCGAGGTCCAGTACAAGAAAGACACAGCCTCCTGGGAGGTGAGGGGCCTGCTGGGGGGAGGCATGTGAGACCACACCTGGAAGGCGCCACCTGCAGGTGACCAGTCCGAGGAAGCCACAGGGACTTGGTGATCACAACCTTGAGGCTCAGGGAGATGATGTGAGGAGGTCAAAATTAACACCTGTGACCCTGGAGGCAGCCTAGACGGCAGGGCAGGGAGGGCAGAGAGGTGCTGGATGAAGGGTTTTCAAAAGCCCCAGAGGGGACCCTTCTGTAGAGGAACCTCCTCCGGACATAGCGGTGCAGCCGCCCAGAGCAGAGCCTCTCCCGGTGAAGCAGGCAGGGCCCCAGCCCAGGGCTCCATCCAGGTCCCCACCCCCATGCAGCCCTGGGTCCGTGTGCAGAACCTGGGGCTCCACAGAGGCCAGACCAGAAACCTCGGAGCCAGTCCTAGACCTGCGGGCTGGAAATGGAGAAACTGAGGCCAGGAGGGGGTGGGCCTGGGATTAGGCCCCAGGGGTGCATTGCAAGAGGTGTGGTCCTGGGTCCCACCCC